AGGACAGCAATGGTAAAACCTCCTTCCCTGGTGTAATTACGATGCTCTGGCTGTAGGTCGGGGGGATCAGTGAGATTAGCGAGATCAACATCAAGTTGTAGGGCAATTGCAAGGAAATCCGATGGTGTATACAACGGCCGATTGAAAATGTGAAGGCAGCTATTAGTTGCAGTCAGRCCACAGAGATTGGCGGGGRTCTCAGGCTGGTTTGGTTGGTCAGTCATTTGTAGATCACCCGTGGGGTCTGCACAGGGTGGTGCACAAGAATGCGGTTCATCCATATGATCCTGGTCAGCCATTTGCAAATCCCTCGTGGGGTCTGCGCCATGTGGGATTAAATGCAGTCCAAGCAAATCATGTTCCAGTCCCTCAGCGTTCGGGGACACACAGGGTGGGGCACAAGTATGCGGTTCATCCATATGATCCTGGTCAGCCATTTGCAAATCCCCCGTGTGGTATATGCCTTGCGGGGTTAAACGCAGTCCAAGCTGATCATGTTCCAGGCCCTCAGCGTTCAGGGCCGCATGTTGTACAGCTGGGGGACAAACGAACATGGAAGGGCATAAAACATGGTGCTGTGGCTGTGTGCAAGCAGCTGGACTGTCTGCAGGAGGCATAGGGGCGGATGTATCCGTTTGGGACAACGGAACCGCAACAACCTGTGGAGGAGGCACAGAGAAAATTGGGGTAGACAAAGAAGCAGGCCGCTGATCCCTGGCCAAGTGGCGATGTTGTGCATGTCGTCGACGATGATACACAATWAGAGGAGTGGCGATGTTTCTAACAGAAGATGAGGATGTCACTGGCAATGAAGACGGAACAATGGGAAGAATAGAAACCGGAAAATCGGTTCTCAAACGAGACCGTGGAGGAGATAGGGGTGGCGAGGACGAACGCAGCCGTCTGCGGCCAAGCACAGAAAGGGATGAAAGGGGAGTGGATTGGGCAGGATGTCGGAACATAGGACGCGAGTGTCGGGCTGGGGTAGAGGAAGCTGTACCAGTGAAAACTATAGCATGAGAAATTCGAGCTACAGAAGCAGAGGAAGTGGTAAAAAGTGAAACCGCAGCAGAGACAACTGTTGTAGCAGGAACCGCAGTGGTAAAAAGTGGAACCGCAGCAGAGACAACTGTTGTAGCAAGAACCGCAGCAGAGGCAACTTCCGTAGCAGGGACCGCAGCGGAGGCAACTTCCGTAGCAGAAACTTCCGGAGTGAAACCCGGAGTTGAAACAGCAGCAGTGGAGACCACAGCGGTGGAAGCGGCGGCGGTGGAAGCGGCAGCGGTGGGAACCGCAACAGTGGGAACTGCATTAGCAGCAGATGAACAAGCAGTGACAGGACGAGAGCGATGTGGGGATAAAGAAGAAAGTGGGTGATGCAAGGACCATCGCARCATGCGTCGGAACCACTRAGAGAGACGGGTGACGTGTGTAGGATAGCGACGTTGGCGGGAGCGTGTGTAGCAGGTCCATCCTTTAGCGAGGGTTGGTGGGGAATGGCCACGAGAAAGCATGCGACGAGTGAGTGTTGTCGCTGCAGTTCGGAAGTCCTGCCAATTATTGCAGATGCTTTCAAATCTGGTCAATTTATTATATATATATAGTCAAACAGAGATGCCCGGTAAACCGTAGGCTGTGGCAAACTGTTTCGTCGGAGTTTCACCGACTCATCAGGAGGCTGAACCCTGCAAAATCCCCTAACTGATTACACTGTAAGTGATAATCCACCTTAACCCCGGCTGTGGTTAAGCACCAACGACTGCCCGACAACTGATACCCTGAGGTAGGCACCAACCACTGCCCTCAAGGTACCTGTGGCAAAAGTCAAAGCAGACTATCACTCACCCACACCAGATGGAAAACTCTACAGACTGTCGGTTCACACCCCATCACAAGCAAGCAATATATATATAAATATATATATATATTTGTTCTGAAGTTCTGAAAGAGGAGAACTAACGAGAAGGGCTATAATGAATGTTTGACTTGTCTCCCAAAAGAAAAAAAGCTAAAAAAAACAAAAAGCCTAACCAGAAGCAGACAGAAGTGTTACAGCACACAAACCTGACCTGATTCAACGTCTGGTCGCGTTCCTCGTTGAAGCTCGTTCCGCGCTTCCCTCCAACCGCATCAAGCTCGTCTATAAACACAATCGATGGAGCAACTTTCCTGCATGCAAACCATCATCACCCATGTCAGAAAAAAAAAAAAACACACAAAAACCAAAACAAAAACAAAAAACAAAACCAAAACCAAAACCAAAACAAAACCAAAACCAGAAACAAAAAACAAAGAAAAACAAAAACAAAAACAGAAAAAAAAACAAAGAGAAAAAAAAAAACAAAAACAAAAACAAAAAGAGGGGAGAAGAGCCATGTAAAACGTTGCCGGCGTATCATCGAACCCGAGCGTCTTTCGCAAGCAACACTTGTTTCCTGTACATGCACCATCACGCATGCGAGGAGTACGAAGCTGGCTAACAAAGAGTCAAGCGAGACGGGCTCAAAAAAAAAACAAAAAAAAAAAAAAAAAAAAAAAAAAGCGAAGATGGTTGAAAGACCTATAATAAACTTAGTACTTAAGCCCCAAACACCATCTCCCACAACTATTCTAAGTTCTAACCATGGTTACGATCCGGACGTCTGGAGCGCAGTGCAGACAGTCTGGGTCTGGATATCCGGGTCTGGTGTCTGGTCCAGAGTGTCGGGAACCATCCCCCCACCCCCACTCCCACCCCAAAAGAAAATCCCGACTTGTCCGGCGTAACCATGGCTCTAACAGTCCGCAAGGACCTGTGACTGGACTGCTCCAGACCGTCCAGACAGTCCAGACACAGGTCGCTGACAGGTATGTTCTCGGACCGTCTGCAGTTCAAAGCTCCCCTTCACCGTCCTTGCGTCCGTTGACCCTTGTTGGGTTAAGCGACCAGGTGTGAGTCCCAAGACACCTCTTGGAGATTGCGATTCTATGCCTTACCATAGCATAATAAGCATGAGGACTCTGACTAAGATGAACGTCACTTTAATCAGGATCCCGATGAAAGGCAAAAGAGAAGAAAGAAGGAGAACCCAGCCTTGAGGGTAACTAGTACACAGTACTACAAACGTGGCTGTTGGCAAACAGGTCACGAGTTCAGATTCTCAAAGATTACAATAATATCAGGGGCTAACCAACCACCTTTCCAAAGGGAGAAGATAGGGGGTGGAGGAGAAAAGACCCGAGACAGGCAGGGGAAGCAGTTTGACACAAACTATAGGTTGAAGTTAGCAGGTCCATGGGCATGCACATGCCCCTACCTGTCCCTTCCTCTCCTCCTACCCCCCCCCCCCTCTCCCCTTCCACCAGAAGGTGTGCTGTAGATGGGTGTTTTTAACAGACCTGCCTGACTGACACATGCCTTGGCTACAAACGATAGCAAAGCACCAGATAAAGCCGTTGATTGTTGCTGGTCATCCCAGAATATCCATTACTAAGTGATTACTTAGTGCTGCCAATCGTTGTCGGTTGTTTTTGATTGTTAATGATTGTTATTGATTGTCGTAGTCACTGCCGTTTGTTTGGTGTAGTGTTTCCGCAGAAGACCATGTGCACTTCCCTTCCACAACCATAGCAGGTTTTCCCACAATCGAAGCGAAGGCAAAACACTCCATGCATGCTGGTCATGGGTCTTCATGGGTTGGTCACGCTGGCACCGAAAGAAACTAAGGCACGTCCAGGTCCAGCCCATTGTTGTCGACACAGAAGACTATTTATAAGCTGGGAAAGACGGCCATTTCGTTCAGCGGATTGATGTCTACCAGGTATGTGACAGTATGTCCTTGTTTGTGAGGTATGGGGGCAGTGACCCCAGTTGGCTGCGCTCTTCCCCCACAAGTGACTGACAGGGACCCCCACTTTCAGGTCCTGACTAACGGGTCCGAAACTGAAATTAGGGTGTCCGTTAACCTGCTCTCTGTCCCCCAAGCGTCACTGAGAATTACCCCAGGGCCCAAGGGGGACAAGGGGAGAATGGACTCCTCAGGCTGCGAGTCCTTTCAAGATACGTGTGACGCCGACCAGCTGCGGCGAGGAGGAGCATCTTCATCTCTGTTCTCGCAACTTCTCAGTGACGGCGCTGATCCGGATCGTTGTCTCGTTGCAAGCTCGCACATTTTCCCCGTCTATGATTCTCGTCTTTAAAATATCCGATTACCCTTTACTCTTGTATTACCAAGATCTGGTTAGTTTTGTTTACGCTTTCTAAATTTCTAAAGCCTTGAGGCTTAAACCTTTATTCATAAATTCCTATGTGATATCGCATCCTATTTCTACTATACTCCCGATGGGCTTTGGGAATGGACGCCTTGCCGCCTGCGTAGGTCTGATGCTTGTGTGCATCAGAGTTAGCAGAGCACTTTGCCCTCACACTTGTCTCTCTGGAGTATAGGCAGGAGCCCCGGAGTCGGGCTGGTGACAGCAGACAGCCACACCAAGTGAGTGACCCCAAGACCACAACGCCGTGTGCGATGCATGTTTGGAGGAGAGGGCGAGCGGCACGCATTAACTGCCACCCCTCAGCACCACCTTGTTCCCACCCTGTCAAGAACAGCTCTTCCCCAATCCAAAGATGCAGTGTCATCTCCACCCTGAGGAACGTCCAACATGTGTCTCTATTTCCATTCACTCACCTGGCCTCTGTGAATAGTTCCCTCACTCGAGCCGCTCCTCGTCCAACAAAGAGCTCCACAAACTCGCTCGCTGATGCAGCCAGGAATGGTATGCCGGCCTCCCCAGCAACAGCCTTCGCCAAGAGTGTTTTCCCTGTACCAGGCGGGCCCACCTATTCATTCCCCCACTCCCGACATTGTACCAGACAGTGTCCCAGACAGAGTACCAAACAGAGTACCAAACAGAGTACCAAACAGAGTACCAGACAGAGTACCAGACAGAGTACCAGACAGTGTCCCAGATAGAGTCCCAAACAGATTACCAGACAGAGTCCAAATCAGTGTCCCAGACAGTGTCCCAAACAGTGGACCAAACAGTGGACCAAACAGTGGAGCAAACAGTGGACCAAACAGTGGACCAAACAGTGGATACAGTTAAAGGGACAAGGAGTTCGCATTCTCTTGAAATGCTCTGCAAAAGTCCACGCCTCTTGACCCAGCACACACAGAGATACATTCACCGCATCCGTTTTCTTTTTTTTTTCTTTTTTTTTTTACTGCATCCGTTTTTCAGTTGACAACAATTTCAATCACGCCTCAAACCACCAGTACCTCCAAGTCTCTTTTTTTCGATGCACATTTTTGCCCACCCCTCACATTCCAACCCGTCGTAAGGACACGGCCTAGCAGCCACTGCTAGCCATTCTGAGCCAGCACGCCGAGCCTTTCAGCAGCGTCATGCTGGGCGGGCCGGTGCATGCCGGGGGAAGCCGGAATGGGCACTGTTGGTTAAAGTTCCATTAAAAAGGAGATTTGAGCCTCTCCTGAAAGTTTGGAGGCCATGGACCGTCGATAAAATGAATCGGTGGTTCATGGCCGCCGCCTTCTTAGGAGACGCTCAATCTCCTTTTTCGGATATACTGTTGGTTTAAACTTTACACCCTCTTCGCAGAGTTTGTTTCATCCTTCCCTCAGCGTACTTGCCGCTTCTTTTCTATCCCTCTCTCGCCTGTATTGAGCCGTGGAAGTTGGATGGGTTCCGGAACTTTCCAAACAAATGCACCCCCTTTTGTTTGGCAAATTCCAGATCCATTCCAAAAGGGGTTGCACTCCATCATAATGGCACTGTTACTCCTCTCATTCTCATCCGCAGACGGTGCCGGCTTCCTAAACAGAAGCACAACTGAAGAATTACGATCTAGAGAAGTTGGACGAATCAAGTTATTATCATACTGTGAACTGTACAGGCACCACTTGCCATTCCACATTCTACATTGTGTTTTTCTTTTTTGTTTGTGTTTTTTTTTTGGACCATTTCTCGATTTATGTGTGTCATCCTTGCTCAGGAGCCATGCTAATCTTCTCTGTATCGTTCCAATTTCAACGGATGCCCCGAAGGACACCAGATTCTACATTGTACATTCCACATAAATGCAGAATTGTACATTCCACGTAAATGCAGAGTTGTACATTCCACATAAATGAAAGAAGTCTCAAGCGTCAAAAGTCCAAAACATTTCTGGTGTTCTGAAAGAACATGTGGATGCAAAAAAAGAATCGGTAAGATAACTAGAGCAGCAAATGGACTGAAAGTGTCCAATGGAACCGGGACAAACACTCAAACGACGTCAGAGCAGTGGAAACGGTCCTCATACGTCATCGCATATGAATAACTATATTACGCTATCCTTCCATTCCATTCAGCCCCTCCCTCCCAAAAGATAAGCCAACATAGTCTGACGCTAGGTAAGATCATCGACACGTAGACGCAGTGGCCTGATTGCACACGCAGGTAATAGTGTTCAAATCCTGATGGGATTGAATCGGGAGAATACAATAATTTTAGGGGCCACCACAGCCTTCTTAACAAAAAAGGAAAAGATCATCGACATGTGAACTCTGTCAGCTGCTTCCGAAGAGATGACGCCTGACACTTTTGGGACAACAAGATAGCTCAGAAACAGAAAGGGCAATTGGAAACAGCAGCATGGCCTAGGCAGAGGATTGTTTGTTGCATGCCAAAGTGGGAAAACAACTCCAAAAAACTTTAAAAAAAGTGCACACAAAAAAAAAGGAAAGGTTAAAACGTAAGGAGTGCGACACCACGCCCAGACTGGGACCGGGACCAACTTGAGTACAGCGAAACCCGACGGAATTGGCGAGAGAGAGAAAGAGAGAGAGAGAGAGAGAGAGAGAGAGAGAGAGAGAGA